AAAAAAAAAAAATGTTGAACTTGTTAAGGTAAAATTCTAGGCTGGGTTTCATGGCTCAGGCCTGTAATCCTAGCACTCTGGGAGGCCGAGACAGGTGGATTGCTTGAGCTCAGAAGTTCAAGACCAGCCTGAGCAAGAGGAGACCCTGGTTCTAAAAGATAGCTGAGCACTATGGCTGGCACCTATAGTTCCAGCTACTTAGGAGGCTTAGGCAAGAAGACTACTTGAGCCCTGGAGTTTGAGGTTGCTGTGAGCTATGACACCAGGGTATTCTATGGAGGGAGACAAAGTGAGACTCTGTCTCAAAAAAATAAATAAATAAATAAAGGGCCGAGCATGGTGGCTTACACCTGTAATCCAAGCACTCTGAGGGGCAGAGGCAGGAGGATAGCTTAAGCTCAGGATTTTGAGATCAGCCGGAGCAAAAGCGAGACACCGTCTCTACTAAAAAAAAAAAAAGAAAGAAAGAAAAACTGAGGGCGGCGCCTGCGGTTCAAAGGAGTGGGGTGCCGGCCCCATATGCTGGAGGTGGCGGGTTCAAACCCAGTCCCGGCCAAAAAACTGAAGAAAAAAAAAAGACAAAAAAAACCTGAGACAAGAGGATCACTTGAGCCCAAAAGATGGAGCCCATAGCTGGAGCTATGATGCCAGAGCACTCTGCCCAGGGCAACAGCTTGAGACTCTGTCTCAAAAAAAAAAAAAAAGAAAGAAAGAAAGGTAAAATCCTGGAGCTGAATAAAATGTAAGTACAGGTCAGGCAGGAAGGCTGGAAACCAGTAACTGGGGAGCAGGGAAATCAGAGTTGTAGACAGTTCTCCCTGTACTCTTTCCAGCTCACTGAAACTGCCCTACTCTTCTCAAAATGGTTGGGGAGTAGGGAAAGAATCGGTAAGTGTCCTCTCACAACAGATTATTGGAAATTGTACTTAGTAAATGTGTTCATGACTTCCTACTCTGAAGGGACAGTTGTTCACATAGCCAGTTTGGATTTTTTGTTTGTTTGTTTTTCATTTTATTAATTTATTTATTTAAAGACAGAATCTCACTTTGTTGCCCCGGGTAGAGTGCTTAAAAATGCTTAAGATGGGCTCGGCGCCAGCCACATACACCTACGGTGGTAGGTTCGAATCCCCAGCCTGGGCCCGCCAAACAACAATGATGGCTGCAACCAAAAAATGGCCAGGCGTTGTGGCGGGCGCCTGTAGTCCCAGCTAC